TGTATAGCTCCAAATATGGCAAAATCTCAGTAGGCTGTATGACATTTATATCTGCATAAGTCCTGAGAAGCCACATGATTTTTTTATTTTTTTTTTATAACAAAATTTGTTGCTATAAATTAGGTTAATGACACAATAGGTATGTTTAATTTTCATCAATCTGAATGAATCCAATACTATTTTAGATTCTAAAAGTTATTTTTATGAACACTAAACTTTGCAATTAGATTCACAAATTCATTTGCTCCATTGTATCGATTGAGGGGTTACGTGAAGGCTTTTCAGTCCGATTGAGGTGCCAATCTGATTACTAACAGATTATTTGGTTGCAATGTAGCTAATGAGACCAAGAAATATTGGTATATTCCTTATTATTATTGTATTTGTTATTATAGTATAAACTAGAATAGGTAGGGATTAAGAATTGTGAGAGCACAGGTGAGGAATTAGTGAAATAGATTTTTAATTTTTTTCTAGTAGGATGCAGTTAAGTGCTCACGGAAGAGATGTTTCTTGAAAATTGTCAGGGATTGGCTGTCTGGATAGGATTGGGAAGGTCATTTCACCAGCAAGGAACAGTGAATGAAAACATCCTTGAGACTTTGTGCCTCTCTGTGATGGTACCACAAGGTGCTCACAGACCGGAGGCTCCTTGAGGGCACAAATAGGCAAGAGTTACAAGAGAGAGTGGAGGTAGGAGGGTGCAGAGCCCGTTGCTGTCCTGTAGGCAAACACCAATGTCTCTAAATTGATGCGAGACACAACCGGAAGCCAGTGCAGAGAGATAAACAGCGGTGTGACGTGGGCTCTCTTGGGTTCCTTGAAGACCTGTTGAGTCACTGCATTGCGGATCATGATTTGATGGCACATGTTGGAAGTCCAGCCAGAAGAGCATTGCTGTAGTCCAGGTCTGGATGAAAAGTTGTGTTGCATGCTCAGTTAGGAAGGGCCTGATCTTCCTGATGTTGTAAGCCATCACACAACTTAATGAATGACAATGAGGCTGAGTAAATGATTACAGAACTTTCATTTTGGATGAATTACTCTTTATATAAATATGACATTTTCATGTGAATAGAATGTGATGTGGGTTGGTTGAAAAACGGACCTTGAAAATGTTTATGTCTTTGTGGGTGAAAGTGACAGAGATAAATGATGTACAGAGGAGCACAGACCGGTTTAACATCTATTTCTCTCTCCTTAACTCTCCACTGTGTAGTAGCTCACACACACACACACACACACACACACACACACACACACACACACACACACACACACACACACACACACACACACACACACACACACACACACACACACAGACAGACAAACAAAGAAACATGTAAAAATAGCCCTCACACTTACAGCGGATCACCTTTTCAATTTCACAGGGTGTGGATCCCTGGGGCCCCTTTATCTCTTTTTACCTCTTTCTTTTGCCAAGCTGTGCAAAAAGCTTAGTATATTGTTAGTTGTGTAATAAGTTTACACTATTAAGTTTATTTTTATTGATTGATTATGTTTTATATAGTTAATTTCTTTCTGTTTTTTTTTATTATTTGTTTGCAGTTTGATTTTATGTAATTGTTCTAGTTAGCTTTCATTTGTTTTTATTTCAGTTTTAATTTGAGTAATTGTACAGTTTTTCATTAGTTGTTTTATTTTCTAATTTAGCTTAATAACAGTTAATAAAACAATTAGTTAAGCTAGCTTTAGTTAGCTTTAGTTAACAATAACAAATTTGCCTGGAAACTATGAATCTTTCTTTGAAAAATGTCTAGGTTTAAATATAATGGATAAAAAAATATATGTAGGAAGTGAGATGTATCATCAACAGAAGTGTGCGTATTGAATAATGCCTTCCTTTTTATGACTTCCTCCTGATGGAGTTGAGCTTTTCAGCAGACCACGTTTCCATGGTTACGGTACGAATCACGCCTGAGAAAATGCTGAAACATAAAGAGTAGTGATGCACCTCTATTTTCGTTCTCGCTTTTTTTAGCATTCTTTTGAAAAATAAATGGTTGAGTTAATTTTGCATATAACCACTTTTTAAAATATACCACGCTATGAGAATATACTGTGGATGTTTTCTCTTATCTGATGTATTTTGTAAGCTGTGGTTGCATTACATGAGAATGGTATTGTGATGGAGGAAAACTGACCTGCACAGAAAACAGTATTAGGTTACTTTGGTGAGGAGGCACGCCCTTCCAGAATGGTGTCCTCTTCTGTAATCTTTGCTCATGATCAGTGTCTGTGGGACTGATTAGATCCCACCCACTGCCAACTAGGATTTAAGTTTGGGAATGCCACAGCATCTGCGTGACTGCCAGTGGGGTAGACAGAAGGAATTGTGTCATGTGAAATGCAACACTTTTGTGTAATATTTGTCTCAAAGAAGGGAAAACTCCCTTGTCCTTGTGCCTTTTTTGCACATACTCTCACACAGTCATACTGCTGCTCATATGGCTCTTGTTGCTGTAGTAATGAACCCTTTACTTATGCAGCATGGTAATGACAGTAGCAATTTTCACAGCTCTCTATGCTAAAGAAGTCCTCTGAGAATCTGAGCACTTTCAGTTTGTAGAGGTTGTTGGTAATGTCACACTGTGTGAGTCGTTCCCAATTATGTCTGTGGATTCCTTTGGTTATACTGTAACACTATTAACCCTCATAAAAGTTTCACATGGCATTGTGTTTCATGCTTAATGTCATGCACCTTTTTTTCCAACCAGTTAACAATATCTACAAGTGGCCACTAGATGGCAGCATGCTGCAAAACTGAAAATAGAGCAGAACAATTGATTCGATTTACTGTTTAATAAGGAATAAGACAAACAAATGATGTGTCATCGTTCACTTTTCATTTCAACCTCTTTTTATTTTTATTCTTCTGAAATTCATAGAAACATAAAAAAACAACAATCATCTCCAGAGGCATATCAGTCAGGTAGAATGCATGTACTCTAGGCTAAATTTGTGTATGTATTTGTGTGTGGAAGCCAGTGTGGGTGTACAGTAAATACTTTCCCCCCTCATTCTTCCCACTGGCTTTGACATCTTCAAAGGGCCTTGTGCCAATACTGCTTCAGAGCAATCATATTTGGGCTGAGTAAAATAATGGAGGTGTTGTACAAACAAAATGAAAGGATGTAAGCCTGAGTGGATTTGTAAAGCAGAGGTATGTGAAGGACTGGGCAATGAATGTTCATATCCAGCAATTTTGACAGAGGAGGCAAATAAGAGATCTTAATGATCATGAACTTTTAAGCTTCATTTATAAAATGAAGATCATTTTATGTCCATGGTATTTCTCTTAAAGGGTACACGCTTTCAAGTACATTCAAGTACACATAACTGGACCATACTGACATAAAACCACACTGCTGATCCTACAAAATGAAGACAGATAGATAGATAGATAGATAGATAGATAGATAGATAGATAGATAGATAGATAGATAGATAGATAGATAGATAGATAGATAGATAGATAGATAGATAGATAGATAGATAGATAGATAGATAGGAAAATGATTACACTGCACACATTTTTTTCTAAATTTTGTTCTTGGGTCTTAATTTACTTAACCAAAATTGCACTACATAATTAAGATAAAAATAATATTTGTCAAAGAAATAAACTGAATGCAAGGTTTATTCTCTGAAACCAAGCCTTATTATTTGATGCAGTTTTGATAAACAAAAGTAGGCTACTGATAAAAAAAAAAAAAAATCAGTATAGGGCCTGTCAACAAAAGTGCTGAACAAACAGGATTGATGTATTTCAGTGCTTTTCAGAGACCAGTAAGTTTTATTTACAGTGCTGTTCTGAGATCAGTCAGAGCTGAGTGCTCCTCTGAGATCAACAGCATGCTGAGATCAGTGAAAGCTGCAGTTGGGTTGCTGGTCTGAGATCACTCAGAGATCTTAGAACACTTTAATTAAATTGTTGAGAGAATCATTCAGGCTATACTTGGATTAGTCTGAGAGAGTATTGAATACTGGCTACTGCACTGAGATCAGTAAAATCAGCTGTGAGAGGCTCTAGGACTGAAAATATATAGGGGCAGATTAAATTAGCCATATAGGTGTGTGTATGTCTCATCCAAATGCGTGTGGGTTGTGCAGCGCTTCAGAAGTACTTCTTAGGAGGAGAATGGAGTAGTTGATGAGGTTACGGTGGTCAAGTAGGTAGGGAATGGCCAAAAAAACTATTTTACAGCCGCCACATTAAGTTTGAGTGCAAATGTGTCTAATCATGTACACGTCTAACTGTTTTTTCCCCCCCCCTTTTCTTGTCCTTTATATGATTATCTGGTGCATGCTATGCATTCAGCAACATTTCACAAGCTGCAACATAACCTTTCTATTCTGCCACAGACATAAATGTCATTGTCATAGCGATAAAAAAAACGATAAGCCCCCCAGCTGCACTAAAGCTAAAGGGGATGCTGTTTTACCTCATGACTGATTTGACATCAGTTGCTTTTGGAGCCAAGGAGAATTTGAAAAGTGGATTTGATTGGCTAGATGCTCCTTTCCTATGCTCTCTTTATGCCCCAGGTGTCTCTATATCTCTTTTTTTGAAGCCTCTCATACACAGAGGGCAAAGTAGGGTGAAAATGAAGGGACTCATGCATATTGATGAAGAGCGCTGTCTGTGACAAGGTGATTTTCAGCATTTTTAGAGGCAAACAAAATAAGCAAGGAGCAGCAGGGATAAATCCTTCATAGATTATACTCCCACAGCAGTGCAACTTAATTGGTAACCATTGCCCTTATTGAACTTAGGGGATAGGGAATTATACAAACACTATGCAACTAAACTGTGCCCAGAGTTACCATGGAAGCAATGCACTGCATACCAACGTGTCAGCAGAGTCTTGCTTCTGTGTATCTCTCCAGCACATACCCCCTTCAGTCCTTCTCTTTTTCCCCCGCCCATTTTTGTTCTCTCTTATAGATTCCTTTATACAAGATCAGCCTTAAATGCCTCTGAGACATTGGTTATGGTGGGGGTAGGGACTTTCACCATGGTCAGACGGTGAAAATATTATGAACCTTCTGATATTTTCAAACGCTTTGCAGATTTAGTACCACTATATCCCAAAAATATGCTCTCACCAAAACCTCTAAGAGGGGCACATTAAAGTCATGGCTATCAGCAGATATGAATATGGCTGCTTAGTCTTTAGCTTAGTGTCCTTGAAAGTCTTGTTATGGTTCTTGGGGCATCAGAAATATTGTGTAAGTCTCTATCTATGCTTTGTCAAAGCAATAGCTTGTTACTGTTTCTGCTCTACTGCTGCTGTAATGTTGCAGACCAGAGGAGCCCCCCTCTGTGATTATCTGCAACTGTGCAGCAGTGTGGTTCATCTGGCCTTCCTCGCTCTCATTGAGCTGCAGCAAACCTGCTTAGGGCTTTTACCATGAAAACGATACACATACTGTAGCACTAAGGGCTCAACCTCAAACTCATCTACTGTTTTTACCATCAAACAAAAGCCTTGTGGGTTCATACTTGTTTATGCTAAAGTACACCCATAAAGTACTTAAAAGCCACCTCTGGCTTAATTAAGTATAGGAACTGGAAGCCCAGCTGCACAAAGGCTGACTCTCATATCTAAGGTCTCCCTCTGTCACCCCCTTGGGGGTGTTTTGTTTTTTTCTCTCTTGTACATCCTCCAGCCTGCCTCTCTTTTTCGGGCGTATGGTCAGACAGTGGTAATCTGATCAACCACACGTGTGCTGTCCCCCATCTCCACGCACTCAATGTCTTCACTGTTTTCTGCAGCATCCTTTCTCTCAAGTCGATTTTTCTTAGAGGGAGGAAGGAAGGTGAGCAGGACGGGGACAATGGCCAAACAGTGGAAGGCGGTGATGATGGCGGTGAGAAAGAGGCACCTGAAGAGTGTGCGGGTAAGGTTTGAGGGCACGGCCGCAAGAGGGAGTAGAGCTGCCCCATAACACAAGTAGCTCTGAAGGGCAGGAACTCCATGTCGCTCCAGAGCCAGTTTCACCCAGCGTGTACGAGTGGATTCCCGACCTAGAGCAAATGCAGATACTAGCGGAGCGCTGGAGTCCACAGCATAGTTCACCCCGTAGATCAGACACAGCACTGAGACGCAATCCAACTCTACCCGCCACAGAGTCATGAAACCCACCAGCCCGAACTCAACAGAGGCAACCGTCACAGTCAACCAGGCATTCACCAGTGGGTCAGCTGCCAAGAAGGTGGAAAAGAAAAGCAGAAAGAGAGCAGCAATGCAAGAGTTCTTCAGCGGTGCTCCAACCGATGAGGCATAACGGTCCAAATACACAAAGGATGGATTGAAGATGATGAACTTCACCCTGGAGGTCAGCGACAACTTCCTCAGTGTGTCCAGTAAGATTGACATCTCTTCTCGCTTGTTTTCTGTTGTCTTGGCCACGAGAAACATACGCGAGGCCACCACATCAAATTCCCCATCCGCACGTTTGGCAAAGATGATATCGTCTGAGAAATGCACATAGCAGGGTTGGCTTAGAAAGCCAGACCGCAGGTGGTCTGTGAAGTTGCTGCGTGACAGGCTAGTGGTGATGTTCAGCCCGTGAAGGTAGTTTAGGTAACTCTCGAACCAGGAGATGCGTTCAAAACCTTTGGTGTACTCTAGTAGATCCTCTTGCACGCTGGTGTTCCAGTACTCAATGGACTCATAGATATAGAAGCCAATCACGGGGCTATAACTGCTAAAATACCGCTGTTGGGCACGGGTGTATGCTATAGTGCTTGTTTCTGTGGCAACCACATTACTAAGATCGGAGCCTTCACTGACCTGAAGGTAGCCCATGAGGGCGAAGGAAACATAGACCAAGTAGAAAAGAACCACAAATGGTTTGACATAGGTGTTGGTGATCCAGTCACAGTAGTACCGTTTCATAAAGGCTACCAGCAGGTGACTCTCGTAAGCACGCAGGGGTCCTGCATCTGTGCCCTCCTCGTTGTAATGTGTGTACATGAGGAAGCGGTACCATGCCGGCTTTTGCTGCAGCAACTCAGGCTTCGGTACGCGCCTGCAGAATAGACTGTGACGGTAGTTGTTTTCCAGGTAGCCGGCAAACACCAGGTTGGAGCCATAGAAGGTGAGGATGTAGAGGTAGTTGAAGAGAACTGAGATACAGGCGTTCTGACAGAAGAGACGCACGGCCTCAATGTTTGTGAACGGACTTGCCCCAATGCCGAAGGTTACTACGTGCAAGGCTGTGCTAGCTGTGAAGGGCAGCATACAGTCTGAGAATACAGCAGCAACCCGCTCCTTCACATGCTGGTCCTCGCGTGTCCGTCGCCAAGACGACAGCATCTCAAATGTGCCAAACAAGCCATGACCTGGAAGAGATGAAGAGAGAAAATATGTCTTTCAGCGATTTATAAACCTTAAATATAAAACGTGAAGTGGAATGGTCTAAGCGACACTCGGAATGATTTTGGCAGGCAGCTCTTTCAAGTGACATAAATGGCTGCTGGGAAAAGAGGAGACGTAAATAATTGAACAAAACGGTGACAAGACAGTCACTCTGCAGCTGCATCGCAACAATGGATATCTAAGAAAAAACAGATGCTCTCTTTCTTCTGTTCTGGCACTGCTGTCAAAAAGTTTTAGCATACATGTGTAGCATTTGCACATTCATCAATGAAATCAAATTCTAATCAAATTCAATTCAATCTAATATATAGGCTTTTCAGTCAATGGAAAAACACCATTTCTAATTTATTGCTCATCATCATCACCACCAGTGGAATTTACAGGAAAATCCATCAAAATAAAGAAAGGATCCAGTCTTGAAAGCAGAGGGAAGGAAGCCTCTTGGCTATCACCACCTTTATTTACAGAGTATGATCTAACAATAGCCCACTCTGTCCTCCTCCATCTTCACAGCTGATTGTAGCTAAATAAATCTCAGTCACACTCCCACATGATAGCCACATGCCATGCAAAATTGATCTGATGAAAGGAGAAAGCCTTATGGATGTGAGGAAGGCTGACAGCCCCTGTAGCCTTGGGACTTCATAGGAGCACAGAAGCCCAAGACATTAGACAAACTGGGTCAGTCTACTTTTAGAAATTGACATAAAGGAACCCAGGGTCCTACGATTGAACATAAAGTCTGTATCATGATGAAGCTAACATTCTTATACTACAACATTTACACGTTTAACTCGAGCATTCACATCTTTTTTTTTTTTTGCTTCCGTGTTTTTAGCTTTCTACATCACTCGCTCGTGCAGGCAGAGTGAGCAGATGGCTCTCACCTACAGTTTTGCCACGGCATCAGTGACTCATCATTCATGACGGAGGTTCCCTCGGTCAGATATTACCAGTACTGCCTCTCACAAAGACCTGGGATGTGTGCCTGGCACAAAATCTAGCAGTCACCAGACAGTGCTGACTTGAGGTCGTGGCCTTCACGATTGGACTCTAGTGTTTTGATTTCCGGCAGAGCTAAAGATCTCAACTTAAATTATACGTACGTGTAGATGGTTGCTAAACTACACAATCAAGATCTGTCAGTAAGAGTAAACAAAGTGAAAGAGAGAATGAATTTCTATTCTCATGCTGGTTTCTCCTGTTTTCTCACACTTCGATTTTAGTCGTTTTCCTCCACACTAAAAGAACCAACAATTTCATTTCCACTCGTCTCAAAAGAAAAAATACCAATGTGACACACAGACTGATTCTCAATGTGCAAGTCCTTTATCTCCTGAACATCTTCGCTCATCTCCCCCTTTCCTCTTAATAAACATGACAATCTTAGCAATTATGGCCTATGATATCTCCTCCTTCCATCTTTCCATTATCATCAGAGGACTGTCAGATGATTCCAGTTGACAGCTAATATCCTTGTAATGGAATTTGTTTTAAATAAAAGGCCGGTGGCTTACAGAGATAAGAGCTATTGTTTTGTCAGACATCTGTTATGATGTAATTATTACAAATATCCCTGCTTTTCTTTGAACCCTATTCAATCCAGTAAGAGCAGCCTGGAATGACATTAATATGCAGCGACACTGGGCGGCTCTAGCAAGTTCTGTTTTTACATTAAGAAAGTGCTCTGCAGGAGAGCTCTGCAAGGAGATGCTGTCACTCCCAGGCTGCAATTGGAAACCAGCGGGGTGAATTCTGAGATCGCTGATCTGGATTGGCACAATTGCCTAGGATTGAACTGTTGGAGTGTTATAAGAAGGACACAGATGTCAGTCGTCTTGAGATAGAAATGCATTATTAATTTTCTGGAGTGGGTGGCACAGGGTCAATCTAAACGCATAGTCTCGTCTCAGCCTTCGTCTATTTTTCCAAGCCTTCGTTTTTCTTTTCCATTTTTTCTTTTAATTTCTCTGTCTTTAGCCCCAGCCTGTTATTTTCTCAACAGAAGCCTCCTCCCACATGTGGCACTAATTGCTGTGTAAGAGATGGCCAACAAGAGCAAGCGAGATGGATGTGATCTGTCGGGATGCATGTATGCGTGTTGGTAATTATCGCAAGATATCTGCTTGTGTGAATCTGTTCCACAAGCACACAGTTGATTCACCCAGAATGGCTCATGGACAGAAGACAAAATAAGGGGTTGGAATTCCTCTAAAGGCTGTCTGTTGGGCTCTATTAGGAATTCCTTTGATGTGGAGCGTTTCATTTTTAATGATACACCTCGACAAAAGTGCAGTGCAGAGCTTTGCGGTCAGTCAGAAGGTGTACTCGTTTAACCTGACAGTCACAGTATGTAAATGGAAGATCAAAAGAATGGAACGAACATGCAAACCGCAAAGACGACTAGCAACTAAAAAGAAAAGAGCACATGATAAATATACCATTAAAAAATATTGGAGGATGCTTTAAATTGATGAACATTAAAGACTTTTACACTGTTACAAAAACAATCTATTTCAAATACACGCTGTTCTTTATGTATATAACATTCTATATATCAAGAAATCCTGTAAAAAAACAAGTTTCCTCAGAAATATTAAACAGCATAACTGTGTTCACTATTAGTAATAAGAAAAAACGTTTCTTAAGCACCAAATCAGCAAATGAGGTTGTTTTCTGTCGGATAATGTGACACTGAATACTGGAGTAATGGCTACAGAAATTTCAGCTTTGCAATCATAGGAATAAATTACATTTTAAAATAGAAATTAAAATAGAAAACCGTTATTTTAAATTGTAATCCAATTTCACAGTATTGCTGTTTCAATGTATTCCTGATCAAATAAATGCAGCCTTGGTGAGTGTAAAAGACTTCTTTTAAAGCGTACAAAATTTGCATAATAGGATGACAGGGAGAAATAATATAATCTCACCTAACATGACAAAAGGGATGCCCAGGTATGTTGAATTGTATTTCCCTCCTGTGAGGTTGAAGATGCCCGCAGAGGTGAGTGTAGCAAGGCTGACGGTCACCAGAGCCAGAAGGCCCAGCCAGGGCTTTGTACGCACACAGTCTCGCATTGAGCAGCACAGCATGGCCAGTGTGAGACACGCGGCCAGGCTAAAGAGCAGCGGCCGCTCTGATACACGACTGGTCCTTTGGAAGTCCCTCTGAAGAGAAGAGGAGGTAAAGGGGTTTAGACTAAGCTCCGGATGAGCCTCTCCAAAGTTCTCCAGCTCCCTGCAGAACAGCAGCTCCCAGCTGGCCGCCACCACTTCGTTCAGTGGGCTGGCCGCTTGCAGGTAGTACGTGAGTTGAAGGGCTCGAGCAGAACGCACCCCGTCTCTCCCTCCACCTGCCAGTACTCCGCCCAGTTGGTGCCCAATGTAGGCCTCCCGCCCATCTTTGAGTTTGGTGATGGGATAACGCAGAGGGGCTACTGAATGGTTGGATGCACGTGCCGATCTCATCTCTTCCAAAACCCGCAGGATGTCGTCCACAATGCAGCTCTTGCTATCATCCAGCAGGCAGAGGTGGGCAAAAGTGTAGTTGAATCCCAGCATAGGAACCTGGATCTGAGTGATTGTGTTGTGTAGCTTGAGGTGGAAAAAGAGAAGGATAAAATGTTTTACTAATACAGACAGGTAATAGATAAAAGTTTTTTTTATGTTTTTGTAAGAAGTCTACTATGCTCAACAAGGCAGAATTTATTTGATCAAATGTTAAATGTAATTCAAAGCTGGATGACAAAGCTGAATTTTCAGCATTACGCCAGACTTCAGTGTCACAGGGTCCCTCAAAATCTTTATAATATGCTGATTTGGTACTCGAGAAACATTTATTATTATCAACGTTGAAAACAGTTGTGCTGCTTAATATTTTTGTGGAAACCGTGATGCATTGTTGATGAATAGAAAGTTCAAAAGAACAACATTTATTTGAAATAGATTTTTTTTGTAACAAGGTAAAAGTCTACTGCCATTGATCAAATGAATGTGTCCTTGCTGAATAAAAGTATTCTTTTCTTAATTTCGTTTAACAAAACGTTTTGAATGGTTGTGTATGTTCATGCACACATTAGGAATAAATTTAAAATAAAACCTTTAATACTCGAGAGTAAACTTTAAGTATTTGATTATGTCACATTTCATAGCATTCAGTTGCTACTATCTTGTTGCCAGGCAACAAGAAAGCATGTTGCTGCAGGAAGAGTGTGCCAACAAGACAAACGGAACATAAAAGAAAAACTTTTTAGACTTTCTTCAACAGGAATCCATGTGAGAAGCGGATTTATTGTCCTCTGAGGTCAGTGTCTCTGCGTTGTTAATGTCAGACTGATTAGACTATGTCAGACTCAGATCACCGGGGGAGGCTACCTCCTCCAATCCTCCGGCCTCCTCGAGCAGCAAAGAAATGTCAGACACACACCGATCAGGCCTCTAATTGCTCAAGCTTGATAATTAACCCTCAGTTGGAGACTAAAGCATGACATTGCATGCCCACAGTCTTTATGCATATCAACAGACAGAAAAAAACTATATATTGCACAGAATATAATCACCTCAAATCCTTTGAACCATGATTTTTCCTTCTTTCAGAATCAGATCAGATCTTGACATACACAATTTTCACACTCTTTTAAATCGTGGATCAGCAGAGGAGAGCTCACCAAAGGTGGTCTATGATACAGCGAACAAGGTAATAATGAGACCTGTTGTGTTGTGTGTGTGCAGGGAGAGAATATAAAGAAGGTTTTATTTCTGGAAAATGCAAGGCTGTGGGAATTTTAAAAAGTTCTTAAGATGTGGTTGCTGCTTGCGGCTCAGGCTTAGTTCAATTAGCTTAAGAAAATTGAAATGAATGTTTTGAGTTAGAATGGATGAGCCTAAATGCACAAGAAGTGAGTACTTTGCATCAAATAATAAAGAGTCTATGCTAGCAACATTTCACTTTATGTAAAGCCACAATTTCAAAATTTCACAAAAAGAGGTCAAGTGCTCATTTGATTTTTGCCTGAAGTTAAGATCTTTTGCCAGTACAGTATAAGCAGAAGTTGCTAGCATCATATTTCATGTTGGTTGTTTCTGGGGGAGTGAATTTGGGATCTGAATTGGGAAGCTGTGTTACAGGAAGAAAAAGTAGGCCACAAAATAAAACTCTGACTGGCACATTGCATGAAATTTTTCTAATATAAAAAGAAAATCTGCTGGAGAGCTGTGGGAAGACAACTTTTATTTGAAATCCAGTTAATATTATAGCACCCGTTCCACAGAGGTGTTAAAATTACAGATTTGTTCAATTTTGAAAGGCAGACTTTTGTCAGTTATTCTCCCACTGATTCCTGAATACTGGAACAAAAAAAGGGACTCATCAAAATAAGTCAAGCAATTTTCAGCTTTTTTATAAGTTATACAAGATTTTGTTTTCCAAGTAATTAAAATGACTTAAACATCCAAGTTGATTGTAGCCTATACTTAAAAAAATTTAAGGCAGACACTTTTTTTTTTTTGTATCCACTTGATTTCCTTTACATGTTTTACATGTTTAGAAAGACTAACAAGCTTCAAAGAAAAATGTTGTTGGACGTGCCAAAAAGTAGCCAAATCAACAAAATGTTGATTCATGGAGTCTTCACAACACTGTAGCCGTTCAAACGTGTGAAACAAAGCAAATGACTCTAGTGAAATGTTGCTCACCTTTAGGACTGTGTTGACGTGGTGAGGGTCCAACACGCTCCCCCTGCGCGAAGTCACGATGACCCGGCCATATCTCCCGGGTGTTTGCAAGTCCGAGTACAGCGTGTGTTTGGACCGGTTAACGGGGAACAAACTATCCACCAAGTTCCCCTCGATCTTCGCCAGGCTGTGTTTGGGGGCTAACAGGTACTCCACGTTTTCCTCTATGCGGTATCTGCTGAAGCTCGCGCCCAGCAGGATAGAGATCAGCACGGGCGCGGAGGCGAAAAACACCGGGTGATTGGCGACAAAGTGGCCCAGTTTGTGGAATGATGTCCTAAGCCCTTCGTGCAACACTTGTCGCAACATCCTAGAATGCAGCAACAGCGCAAGGGCGATGAACCAGCATCAGCATCAGAGATCCGGAGCATCAGTGTTCAACCCACGCAGCTGGATCACTGAAATGATGAAGCGTTGCGTTGAATATCATCAGGTCCTGCTGGGTCAGAGACATCTTGTTAGTACTGCTTTGTTATTTACTTCAAAAAGAGAATTCAGAATGAAAATGCATTCGAAACTCTACAACGTAGAGGCATGTGGTAACACCAGTGTGCGAATTAGCCTAATCAGTGACTTTCAAAGCGGACGACTTTTCTTTCAGTATTCTGTCAGTTCATTTTGGGGCGCAGTCGGTTGAGGTTCGTCTCACGCAACCCAAATGGTCTTTAGCGCCGCCAGTACAGTAGCTCAATTATAGCCTACCTCCAAAGACATTTTAAACAAAACGCTAAAACGGTTTGGGATATGTAAAACTACAACGAAACGATAAATAATGGAACAATTATGATTTACCACCCCACAGCGATCGAGTAGATATAGATAACGTAAGTTTAAGACCCCTCAACCCATTTGTTTTGACGTCGTTTGGGGTTCAAGCCTTATGGGGTCAACATTATACCCCCATCCCCACCCCATAATTCGCACTCATGGGCAGTAGGCTAGTGGTCACTTTCTAAGGGAGCGACAGGTTATATTCATAGACAAGTGAAAAAAAAAAAAAAAAACCTTAAACCAGCCTGACGAGCTGAAAAGTGGCCAAAACCTGGCTGGTTTAATTGTTTTTTTTTTTTCGACAAGGAAAGAAATGTGGTTCTGAATTATTACCAGTCACGTCTTGCAGTTTCATGCCATCTGAGAGACCCAATTTCCATAACTGCGTCGTTGATCCGAGTGCCAGAGGTGATATTCTCAATTCTCGTAGACTAATAGAAACGAATCACTTTTCTCTTTGAATATGTCCACAGCGTCTTGGAAAGGATGAATCCAGTACGGTACCTATAACAGTGAACTGGTCATGTAGCCTACTTACAAACAGTTTCAAATGCGCAAATACAGTTTTGTATATTCCATTATCTATGAGGTGCGTGTCATTGATCCATATTAATCCCGTACCGCGCCCAGCACGACCGTTATCCGCTGTTACCAGTCTAAAAACACGAATCTCCACCACCGACCCGCGGCGCAGAATGCGTGAGAGCTCCGCGCAGATCCAGCTCGGCCACTTGTGTGCATTTCCTTACCGACTTAAGACATTCGTTACTGCGCTGAACACAAGACAGGTCCGCACAAAAAATATTCACGAACGAACGAGATGCGGCACTTAAATGCTCAGTTACGGAGCTGATTCAGAAGTTCCAGTTTCCCGAAGAGCCGGCCGGTAAATGCCGCCGGTGCCCCCACCCCCATTACACCTAATCACGGGAAGCTGTTTGTGGAAAGGAAAGCTTTTCTGATTGGTCTGTTAACGTTAGAACATACAACACGCACAGAGATAACGATTATGGGACGGAATTGTATTTTGTGTGACAGTCTATAGAAACTGTTTGCAATTACCCTATACTAGGCTACTAATTTACACGTACAATTATTGTCTCAGTACGCACATAGCATACTTTAACTGATCATCTGATGAGCGCTTTACACTCTAAAAATAAAGGTTCTAAAAGAGGCTTTTCACAGCGATGCAACAGAAGAACCATTCTGGCTTCCCCAAAGAATCTTTCAGTGAAAAGTTCTTAAAAGTGCAAAGTGCAAAGAACATTTTAGAAAAGCCAAAATAATCATTTGTGCAATGCAAGGTTCCATTTATTTTTAAGAGTGTGTGAAAGACATAACACATCTTTATACCATGCAAAAACAGCTTGCCGTAATGAAATAAAAACATTTAGCATTTGCCCTCTACTTTTAGTCAACACCCAGAAAAGTATTACAGATGCAACAGACTTTGTACCAATATTTGCCTACAGAGGAGGAAAAAAGTGCTCATAAATGAAAGCCAGTAATAGGCTTGATTCAGCACCATGGACAGAGACGATTACAGTACCAGTATTGACCAGTTTGGTCTTTTTGGATCTAGAATTGAAGATGAAATTGAGGCCCATTATGTCAATACACTTGAGAGTTTACCATAATCTTTTCCTTCTGACGTGCTATTGATATTATTCTCACAATTACCCATGTTCTCCCTAAAATTTTGACAATTTTTACAGATTCTATTTTTATATATCCAGAGGAAGTTCAATCACGGCCAGGGTTAAACTGTCCCAGCTCTCTCAGAGTTCCTCAGACAGACAGACAGTCTCTGGCCAACAGATCATTTAATAACAGTGGAACAGACTGCTGAAGTGCAGGGGCACGGCTCTGGATCTACCCATGCATGTCTAATCAAGTACTGAGCCCGTGATTCAGCATGGCTCCCCTACCTGGACCGCTCCAGTGCATTTTGCTCTCCTCGGAGAGTTATTTGATATCACATATCCATATTACACTTCCAAAAGGGTTTTTTGGAACAATGCCTTAAGAAGAACCATTTTGGGTTCCCCAAAGAACCTTTCAGGGAAACAGGTCTCAAAATAGCATTTTTTTTCTTAGAGTGAAGAACATTTTGAAAAATCTAAAAAACTTTAACCACTATAAAGAACCTTTTGTGCAATGGAATGTTTTCATGTTAAAGGTGTTGGAACCATCGATGCTAATATAGAACCTTTGTAGCACAACACAACTATATTTTGTATGTGGTTTATTTGAATCCACAGTGAGGTTGTTCAAATAGAAATATGTTTTTATCTTCCTGCATCTAACCTTTGACCATGCTGTAGACACAAAAGCTGGGCTTGTAATGATCATCACTGTTTTATGGTTATTGCCATGGTAACGATGCCTTCTGTAGCCCATGCTTTGCCATAACGTTCCAGCAAACTGACAAAGAGTGGTTTCCATGGTTACAGCTTTAGGGCACCATTGTGACTTCACAGCTGAAAGTGCTGGTTGTGTTTAATGTCTGTAATACCTGTCTGAGTAAATGTTTGGACTCATATTGTATTATTGCTTCTACAGTATATTGTGCTGGCATTATATGGCACTAGCAACATCAAAGTAATGGGTTTGATTCCTAGGGAAAACACATACTGGTAAAATGTGTAACTTTTACGTTGCTTCGGATAAAAGATTCTGCCAAATGCATAAATGTAAATCTATAAATGTTCCTGTAAATGTAAATTGACTAACACAAAAAAGCAGAAACGTCTGGACTGAGTTTATTTTAGGAGGCAAGAGAAGAACTGAAGTTTGTTACCATAAAAAGGTAGAGAAGGTTCAGTTTTCAGAGAGATTCGGGAGTTTGGTCTCCTGCAGTAGAACTTTACAATAGGTTCTGGAAAGAGTCAAAGATCAGAGCTCAAATCTCACTTGAGCTGTACGATGTTCAGAGAAAACCTGAACTGAGTAAAGCTCTGTTTGCTTGCTGTGCAGTGGAGTCTGGGGAAAAGTTGATGTGAGAGGAAGGAGGAGACCTGGATTGAGAGAAGAGTTAGTGGGAAAGAGAGTAAGAGTGATGGAAGGGAGAGGGAGAAGGAAAGAGGTGCAGAGAAAGGAAGGGAGGAGAGAAAATGTGAGCTGAATGTCAATGATGTAATTTTCCTTCCCGTAATCTTTATCCTCATTTTACCTCTAACTTTTTTGAATAATTTTTTTAATCAGAAATGTTTTCTTAGATTCTTAGATACATTCACATTTTATCAAAACTGTAAAAGATAATAACAGTTTTTGTCAGATAATGTGTTTGATTCTATGTTTAAGCTTGTTTTAAATTGTTTTCTCCCTTTTAAGCATAAACTTAACCAAATGTTGTTAATACAAACAAACACATAAACAGACATTAAGATTTAATCCCTGAAAACAAGTCTTAAAGGGATAGTTCACCCAAAAATGAAAACTCTGACATAATTTACTAACCTTCACATAATTTTAAACCTGTATGACTTTCTCTCTTATGCAGAACACAAAAGAAGATATTTTAAAGAATATTGGTGACTAAACAGTTGACGTAGCCATTGACTTCCATATAGGGGAAAATTACTATGGAAGTCAATGGTTGCCGTCAAGTGTCTGGTTACCAACATTCTTTAAAATATCTTCTTTTGTGTTCAACAGAAGAAAGAAACTCATACAGGTTCGGAACAAAATGAGGGTGAGTAAATTATGTCAGAATTTTCATTTTTGGGTGAACTATCCCTTTAAGGACCTTACATTGTGACTTTGTAGTTTATTTTGAGCATTTTTCTTTCTCCGAACGGCTTTTATTGTCTTAGCTCTTGCTCTATCTGCCAGGATCTCTGTTCCCATAAACCATAAGTGTTGCTAGACCCTAGTGAAAACAGCAGTTGCAGAAAGCTATTTGTGTTTTTTCACTGTGATTTTCCCCTTACTATAGTCACTAAATCTGTATGGTTCTGATATAGTGTGCATCTACTGACACATATTTCATTCAGCCACAGCAGCTCCTGTTTAGGTATAGGGGGCTGAATGTAATTAATAAACAATCTCTCCACTAATACATCTCTCCATCTGTCTGTCCTTATGATGATTTCATCCCAAGACGACCAACTCAAATGAGAGATTGAGGGTTATGTGGATTTACAGTGTGGGCACTTCATGTCTGATGGCAGTAAAATCCCCTATATGTCTCTCTGTTTTTCTCTGAAGGTGAACAAGTCAAGATAACTGATAACCAACAATAGAAGGAAAAATCTGCATAGAGACAGAACAGGAAAGGATGCACACAATGAGAGAGAAATTACCTTTCTGACAATTTGAATCCTGAAGCTTATTGGTTCATTGCATCCTGCTGACTCAAACTGGGCACAATTGCATGGTAATCCCCACCACATGCTCACAGGAAACGCTAAACATATTTACAACAAATGAGTCAATTCAGGAATAAACATACAAACACACACTGACATGTTCCTAAACCAGTCAACCAGTCATCTCCCGTCATTTATTTATTTAAATTAAAGACGTCGAAAAAAATAGGTTTTTAGCATTTGGGACAATACAGTGAAAATGTTTTATTAAATTAAATTACAATTAAATAAAAAAGATTTCACTAATTATATCAGCCTTTTGTAAAGTATATATCGAACAATTCATATTCATTTATATTATTCTACAGCCATTGCATTTTTTTTAATCATTACTACAGGTGAGTTTAGAGTTAAGATTGGAGTTAAGTGTGATACAAATAAATTATACATTGTGCATTGACAATGCTATTGATCACTTATACACCATTCCAAGAACTAGCATTTTCACAACAATTATGATTTTTTATGCTTCTGTCCTCAGGTTAACATATTGAAATAAACAATGAGTGCACTCTGTACCCACTCAAAGTAATAGTACATTCAGCACATCTTCTCTTTCTTTACACTAAATTTTTCATTTCTGTCCACCGCTTTTCATCTCCCTTAACAATAATCCTTACAAAATAGGCAGAAGACTTATATTCCCAATAGTTGTTTTCCTGGCTTTGCAGTTTAAAGTAAACAACACAACAGAGGAACAGTTTGAAAAGGTGCAGTAAAAGTTGTTTATAACAGCCCTGCTTTCATTGGCCAGGCAGTTAGATTGAGCTCAGTGGAGGCAAAATGGTAATAGAGAGAGAGAGAGAGATTGAGACATCTGTGCAAGCAGCAGTGGGAACACTGAACCAATGAGCCAAGGAGTGTCTTCTCTGTGCTTCTCTCTTTTCTAATTACTGTTTATAAGAAGATAGCTTAGATATTAAAAAAAAAAAAATACTTGGCCAAAATATGTGGACACCTGAACACTAGATCCATATGTGCTATATACTTCCACATTTAATGTCAAAACCATGGCCATTAATAGGGCCAATAATTTTGTCCTCTCTTTGCTTTGGAGTTCCAGTTCATCCCAAACTCGTTAATTAGAAGCGGTGTCCTCATTCCTTGGCTCTTTGGTGCAAGTAGCTAATGAATGATAAAACATTGACAGTCAATGTGAATCCATCCTGCTTTAAGACACGTTTAAACCAAGGACAATAACTATAACAATTAAGATATAGATTTTGCGGCATACACATACACGCGGAATCACTTGGACATTTAATGGCGTAGACATACACGCAAAAGATGACGGTTCGTTTCGGCGTGGACATACACGCGGATAGCTCAAAATGCGTATAGATAACACGCCACTTGACTTGAAAGTGGTGTGTATGTTTACGCAAAGTCATGATGTCATGTTGCGCACTGACATACTTATCTTAAAATATGTCAGTGTCATTGTTTTGTCTCAAGATGCACACCAGTAATGGTTTTTTTCTAAGGAACATAAAAGCTACTTAAATGTCCTATTTTAACTAAGGCTTAATCCTGGCTTAATCTAAGCCCTGTCTGTGA